TATGATGAATGAGAGTAATTTGGTTGGGTTGTGTTTGTAATGAGGAATTTTACCTGCTCCCGTCTCCATCCAACTTGCGTGTGCGGGAATTGCTCGAAAAAAGGTTGTGTTGACCCGAAATTCTGAAAAAAAAAGTACAGACAAATTAAATTCACCATTAAATTGTGTTGGAAGCCACTCAATGGAAATAAAGTAATAAACAAAAAAGGTCATGCGGTAAATTACGACAAACACCCGCAAAAAAACACCAACAATGATCAAAAGAAACGGCAATTCTGTCTGAACGAAAAACGATTAAATTCCCAAAAACATAAGACAAGTCAATGGCAAAAAAGTAATAAGTTGCGGTAATTGGAGTGCAGCAAATGGGACACGTGTCGACCAGCCAAATGGGCGAAAAGAGACACGTGTCAACGCCACAATGTGCCTAACTCGTTCATATAAGATATAAGAGAGATTAAAATAATTTTATTATGATTAATAAACCAATACTATAAAAAATTTATTAATTTTGGAAAAAAATATCATGTTAATAATTTTATAAGAATTTGAATAAATATACATGCAGGGGCATAGCCAGGATTCAATGTTTACCTGGCTATAACTATTCTAATAAAATATGACAATATCACAAATAGACATTTTCAACATTTGTAACGAACCGCTAAACACGCGGATCGAACCATCAATCAATAGTTCGGTTAACCGTTGACAGTAGTTCCTATTATGATTTAATAGTCCGGTTACGAATTAAAAAATGTCAAAACCCCCTTAGGGTTTTGGTTATTGAATAGAAGAAAAAACAATGAAAATTTTGGGGAAGGAACAAAAAAAAATCAAAGGTTAATGATTTCTTAAAGTTCAAAAAAATAAATGGTGGAAAGCTGTCTGAACCGTTTTTGGTTTTTTGGTTTTTTTTTTTGAAAATATATGGCTTTTACAAAATTCGGTAGTTTCTGCAGAATTATTCAATTTTCAACATTAGAATAATAACATAAAATCGACAGCTCGAATTGAAAACAAGCAGTTCCAATCGAACCGTAACGGTAATCATCGGTTCAACAACTCCGAAGTGCCAATAACGGGTAACTGTTAATATTTTACATTTTTAACCAACCGTAATCGGTTGTTCCGTAACCTAGAACATGTCTAATTAATAAAACACATATTTATGTTATGAAAAGACATGCATTTTTATCATAAACATTTATATTTTATCAATTTGAATCAAACAAATGGTATTGGTATTTGAATGAGTGCAATAGAAAAATTAAAAACAAAAAACATCAGATAAAAACTGTAATCTACTGGTAAAAAAATGTATATATTCAAACACATAAATAATAAAATAAAAGTATTTTTTTTCGATACAAAGAAGGAGGTTAGAGGCCTAGACAAACATATCATAACTAAAATTTTAAAGATGCTAACTTGAAATGAAAATGTATGTTTTACTAGCTTGATTATAATTGTTTATGGGTCTCAATATTTGACCAGGCTAATAACTTGAAAATGAAACAAGAATTGAAAAAAAAAATGAGATTTTTTTTATTGTTAAATAAATTTGTATTGATCAAAACTAGAGTCATACAACCGAGGCGGCTTTCAAGTCGAAGCGGGCAGCCACATGTCGGCTCCACACTCGAAAATACCAAAACCGAGGGCTTACCCACAAACCGGGAGCTCGCTCAAAGTAGAAAATCCAATAAAATCAACAAAAACGGCGGCAGAGACGCGCGCGTGATGTTTCCTGGGTAGCGCCGCTAGGCAACGGTAGCGGCGCTAATGTAACGTGGCGTTTTGTGGAGAGACAGGCCCTAGCGGCGCTACTTTGCATGTAGCGGTGCTAGATCAATGGAAGCGCCGCTAGCAAGGTAGCGCTAATCATCCGGAATGGCATTTCTACGTTCTCTAGTGGATTTTCGCAAAGTCGTTGGCTCTTGAACTGTATGTTCTTGAGTTTGTTGAGTTTGTTCTACATATACATGTTGAGGTTCAGGTTCAAATAAACAGGCTCCTCAATTGTATCTTGAAACTGTATGGGAGCTGGAATGACTATTTCCTTTTGAGGGATCGGGTTGACCACTTTGGTGATTTCTTGATCCTCAAAAGTAAGTCTGAAATTGTATTTCTCCCCCCAAACTCAACATCCTCAAAGAACGTGGCAGTGCCTGTCTAAAAAATATATCTTGATGTGGGATCATAAAATTTATACCTCTTCGACCGTTCCGAGTAACCAATAAAATGACAGCTCACCATATGAGCAGCTAGCTTTGACTCATTTGGCTTATAAGGCCTCGCCTCAGCTGGACAACCCCACACCCTAAAATGTCGTAAGCTAGGCTTACGCCCACTCCAAAGTTCATAGGGTGTTATAGCAGTCGCCTTAGTTGGTACTCGATTAGGATGTAGACTGCAGTCTTTAGGATTTCTCCCATAAGGATCGTGGTAAAGTAGATTGACAATTCATACTTCAAACCATATCTTTTAATGTGCGATTTCATCTCTCAGCAACTCCATTCATGCTAGGCGAACTTGACATAGTATACTGAGGAACTATTCTACACTTCTTAAGGAAGTCAGCAAACGGGCCTGGACGTTGTTCACCATATCCATCATTTCTGCCGTAATATTCACCTCCACAGTCAGATCTGACGATCTTAATGCGTTTTCTTAGTTGATTTTCAACTTCAGCCTTAAATGCTCTGGTACCAATTGATAGAATTGGATTTAACCTTATTCGAAATAAATTATTTAACCCAAGAGACTTCATATCGAATAATCGAGAATCAAACTGAAAAAAGCGAAAGCGTACCTGATGGATTTGTATTGTTTTATTTCACTGGAACTTGAATTAGAATTTTGGGATTTGAAGATTTTCCAGAAGACCGTGAATTTTCTTTATTTTCCTTATCCTTCTTTTGACGTATGAAAGAAGAACTTGTTCTTTTAAATGATGCCCCCATATCCCCTTTTACATTGATTAGTAGTACTATTTATTGATGTTACACACTTAATGTAAAATTGTTGGCAACTACCAACACCTACCAACTTTTATATTATTTTTTATTCACTATGAATTATTCTAATAAGCATCACTTTATTTTCACGGCTTTTGGGGACTCTACCTGATATAGGATATTATCTGTATAAAGACGAACCGATTTGGTGAGCCGGTTGAGAAGAGCAGACCGGGAGCAAACCAAGCCGAAAGGCGGGAATCCAAGTGATCGAGCAGCCTAAAGCTCGACTACACAAGCAATCGAACAATCCAAGGCTTGACTGCACAGGCGATCGAGCAGCCCGATGCTCGATCAGACTGGTCGAGCTACCCACCAATCGATCAGAGGAGTGATCGAACAAGCTGAGTGATCGAGCAAGTTGACCGACATAAGCCCAGACGCG